AAAAGTTGATCTTGAATGTGCTTTCAGCAAGCAAAAAGCTTTTTTTTTTAAATTAATGTATATACAAGAAATAGCTTTGAGTTATTATTCCGAGCTTTATGTTATTCAAGTTTCCAAGTTTATTATAATACTAGCTCCCAATAGGAATTTTCACGAGGTTTTTAGAGCTTTAAACATAAAAATGAAAAGTTGAATTGCAACTTCAATGTGAAAACCAAATTGCTTATGATTTATAGCTTAACTTGAATATATTAAGGTACATATAATTCATATTACTTATAATTTGTTATTCAATGCTTAAGTTTTGTGACAGCCCTCGCCCGCTTGCATAGAGTTTTGATGGCAACTTTTTAATAATGTATGCCAACCCGTTCAATTTAGTTAGGTCCGTCGACGAATATGTTCATATTTTGGGGCGTTGATTTTGATTGCGAATTGTTGTCTGTTCATTTATGGAATTTCATTAGCAACTCGACTCTGGACTCTCGACTCTTGACTCTCGACTCTCGACTCCTGACTGTGTCCAGCTTAAAGCGAGTGTCGAGGATGTGTTCGCATGTGTAAGCCAAATTAAAAGCAGTCCAAGCAGACAATGATATAAAAATTTATGAGCCACATTTCGTTTAATTTTCTTTTTTCATTTTTGCAACAAAAGTCAAAGGACAGCTAAGGCATTTATGGGTGCAGGACATACCACGAACAGGAGACAGTTAAGGGGGTGCACGCTATCTCTCTCTCTCTCTCTCGCTCGCTTATTCTCGTTTTAGTTCAAGGATAATCAGTCAACATCGCGTGCCGCTAAAATTTCAAGGAGTGTGTGTGATTTTTATCATGCAAACAGCCGGAAAATGAACTAAAAAAGTGCTAAATGAGTAAGGTAAATGAAATTACCTGAACGAACACACCTCAAAATTGGACACACACACTCAGAGAGCGAGAGAGGGAGAGCCAGCGTGTGTCCAGTTGTGCGTGTGTGTGTGTGTGTGTTTGTATTTCCGCTTTGCCTTTGACAGCGTTGCGTGTGTGCGAGTGTGCAAAGTTTTATTAAAGAGCGGAAATTACAAATTTGTCCGCTGCTAATGGATTTCCATTTCAATTTGCACGGCTTTCGACTCGAGCGCATTTTCAGCACTTTAAAAGTGTTTTCGCCACGTTGATTAGCTCACCAAAAATTTATGCAGCCTCAAAAATGTAGACAGAAAATTTCAGTTTTCTTCTTCTTTTTTTTTTTTTTTTTTTTTTTTTTTTTATTTGGCATTTGTTGTTGCCGTCGGTCGTCGGTTGTCCTTGCCACAAAACGCTAACGACTACAAAATTGCAAGAAAATTACCCGTTAATGTCCAACATTTATGGCCGCGACTGGAAGACGCTGTGGCAAAAGCCAGACATGGGCACCAACGGCATTCCAGCCAAAAAATACTTATAGATACAAACATATACATATATATATATATATATATATATATATATATGTATGTGTATGTGTGTCTATATAACGAAAGGCAAAACTATTATGGCCCTTGTGCTTATTACTTGCTGACATGCAAACACTTGCGCTCTCCTTCTGGCCAAATTATGCCTCCGTCTCTTTTCAACAGCTGTCCGCGCTGATGCCAAGGACAAGGACATGGCGAACTGACTTTAATGCGCGTGGGTGAGATATATATTGGTAACTGTGTTGGGCTTTAAGCACACCTGGCATTAAATATTTAAGTTATTTTGGCATTTAATTTCGAGCCACACACATTTACCATAATAAATAATAACATGACACATATCAGCCTCAATTTATAAGCACAAATCGAAAAAGTAAATAAAATTGCTTTTCAGCGACGGCCAAAAAATAAACTCAGAAACTTAGCGAACCTGACACACATGTCGAGCAGTCATTAATAATGTAGCTGGATGCCACATTCAAGTGGCTCACAATGAAAATCGACAGTCCAACCACAGACCCCGCCACCCCAAACCGAAGGGTGGCTGAACGAACCTCTTGTGACCAAGCGGAATGTCAAACGTGCCGCTTGCCACTGTCAAAGTAAATTTATGCACCCACCACGCTCCATATGGTTCGGTGGTTGGGTGGTTCGCCTGTCGGCAATACGAAATTCCAGTCAAACTAAAAGTATTTTCTAGTTGCGCCCAATGTCTGCTTTGCTGTCTGCAACTAATTTCAATATCATCAAAAATTAATTTCACTAATTCGATTAGAGGCCACATTTTCCCCCACAAACAAACAGATATATTAAAGCTGCACCACTCAGCCCGGGCTCGGGTGCGTGTGTGCGTGTGTGCTGATGCTCTTCCTCTTCTTCTGCATTCATTAATTTAAGTCAGCTCCCATTCTAGCTCTGACTTGGTCCACTACGATGTGGCAATGGCGTGTGCCTTACGCTCAAATGTCGATAATATATGGACATTAGCTTCATGATGGCTCGCAAGACCGTTTTTATGCAAGGAGCTAATTGCCTAAATGTTACCACTTAAGGCGATCTTAAGCTCCAAGAAAACAAAGTACATTATGTGAGGCATGACTGGATTGGCAATCAATAAGTCATCATCATATATACTAAAACTATAAATTTCCAGAAGTTCGACTGATTTCTTTTACATTTCAACATTGATTTGGTTGTTTACATATTTGCAATTTGCTCATCTCTCTGTCTCTCTCTCTCTCTTTTGTTTGTTTCTCACTCGTAATCTCTCTCTTCGTTGCTCTCTCTCACTTCTATTTATTTATATTCTCCCTCTATCTCTATCTCTTGAGTTCTTCATCTTTCTATTTCTTTCCCTCTGTCTCTCCCTTTCTTTTTCAGAGCCGCTCTGCATTCACTATCGCTCTTCCTCTGCGTTTCTCTCGCTTTCCACCCCACACTCTCTACTCGGTTTCTGTATCTAACTCTACATCTCCCGCTATCTATATATACAATAGATATCTTTCTCTCTGACTCCTTTTCTATCTCTCTCTCTCCTCCTCTTTCTCTTCCTCTCTCTCTCTGTCTCTCTCATTTTCTTCATATTTCACTCATCTGTCATATAGCTCTCGCACTTTCTCTTTCCTCTTTCCTCTTGCCTCGCCTTCATTCTTTAACATTTTTCCATCCAACCTCAATCAGCCTTAGAAGTCATCCGCCTCTCCACGCCCACACCTCCTCTGCTGACTGAGCATTTAATTAGGTTTCAGGAATAAACTCCATCTTAAAAAATATATATAATAAAATGACAAACCTTAATAGCGAATTACACACAACATTTGAGAAACATTTGCGTTTTCATTTAAGAGGAAGGCGAAAAAACATGCTCATGCAAATGAAATCCCAGGTAAAAGACGTGCCACCTGCTCCCCTTCCACAGCTTCAACTGGGGGTTTTCTTTATATTTAATTTGGCTTTATGGGCGCAACCGCGCCTTATTTCATTTCAAGCAAACAAAGAGCAAAGCCAAATAAAAAGAAATGCTTTGGCCCCATATGTGAGTGTGTGTGTGTGTGTGTGTGTGTGTGTGTGTGAAAAGGCATTTGTAAAAAGCCAAATGGAAGGCAAACATATTCACATCAAGCGCCAAAAGTCACGAGTGATGTGGAGGGGGTGGGGGGGGGGTTACTATGAGTCGGGGGTAACTTCAATCCCCGACCCAATTCTCAGACCCTGCTCTGCTCTGCTCTGTGAGCCAAACGTGCGCTTGGCTTACACTAATTGTCTTTGCTGTGCGTGCGTGCGAGCTGTAAGGGTGTCTCCCTGTGTGTGTGTGTGTGTGTGTGTGGGTGTGTGGTCGGGTGTATGTGTGCGTGCATATATTTAAAGGATGTTTAGCTACGCGTATGCGCCAGTTGCCTTTTTTGCCCACTCTAAATAGCAGCCTCCAAAGCAAATGTGAATTCCTCACCTGCAGCATTAGACTACATGCATACATATACGCATACATTCATATTTGTATATTTTGTGCATATTGTTGCGCACCTGGGCAATTATGCACACTATTTATAAGGCGAATGCAATCTCATTATACGCTTAATGATCAAAAATACTTCGCTATGTCAGACACTTCCGTTCGCTTGACTCAGCAGAAAAGCAAGCAAGAAAACAACAAAAACAAAAAATATAATTTAAATAAAAATATCTATGAGTATATTATACGATATGCATGGATATATGTATGTATGTAGTGACATCTGTATGTATGTGTGTTTGCATGCATATTCGAATTTATTTACGCCTGCACTTAGCGCACGTCTATCAAATATCTCCAGATGTGAGAGACGCCGCAGGATTCGGTTGGTGGTTCGTCGTTGGTTGTATTGTCATTGTGGGTGCCAATTAAGAGTCGCCAAGGCTGCAATGCTACAGTTGTAATAAGGCAGCACGGCAGGATAACAAGTCACTCAGTTAGTCAGGGCGCGCAGCGTGTGGGCGCTCGCATGTCCTGCCAAACTAAATTAATTGCAGTCCTTTGGCCCAGGGACCTGCCGACTTCGCACATTCGTGCAGCTGATGTACAAATTAACATTACAATAGCAATAAGAATGAGTGCTGCTGCTCTATGGCTAAAACTATCGTAGATTAATCGGCCTGATTAACCGCACGCAGACCGCACTGTATGTATATATTTATATACGCAAATATGTATGTGTATACATGTATTTTATATATTCAATTCGACTCAAGTCGTATCCGGCTTGCTTATTCTTTAAGCAATTATTTTGAATGACTCTTCTAAATGATATTTCCATTGGGTTTGTATGTATGTATGTATGTTCATATGCATATATGTACATACATACATATATACATACATACATACTTATCTACAGTTTCTGTCTGAGTCTATTTTATTGTGTGAGTGAAAGACACTTAGCTGCAGATAACGAAAGTGTCAAAACTCACTTGCGAGTCTGACAGTATTTATTTTAGTATTTATTTTGTTAATTTTTGATATTTTGTCCGTATTTATATTCAAGCTAAGGCGTTCGTCTATCGATCTGCTGTTATTTCGATAAATCACATAAACCTTTGCTGCTCACTGACTCATCGTTCAAAGAAATAAGGGTTTTTCCAGAAACTTGTCGCATTCCGCTTAGTTACGAAAGACAAACGATTATTCAGTTTTAATATAAGTGTCCAAGCAATTACTTGCGTGTTGAGTAAAATATGGCGTCGAATCAGTCGAGTATACTGATATTGCCTGATGATTGTTTTGGTATCGTACTCAAGTATTTGGACGGTAGAGATCATTTGAGTTTTGGGCAAACTTGCATGAGGTTTAGAGAAGTCTTAAGGAACTGGTCAAGTGTGCTCTACCCTGAGTTTTGGTTAATTTGTAATGAAGATAATCAATGGGAATTAGAATTGTTTACTATTATCTGCGGTAACATTAAGAAATTGAAAGTTTCTATTAGAGACTGGACGGATATCCGAACTATAGAGCTTTACGAAAAACTTGAAAGCATGAATTTGGAAAGCTTTTTTTACGACTCGGTATTGGAACCCCAGAAGGAACTTTTTGAAGCCCTGCAGCACATGCAAAATCTAAAGTGTGTTCGTCTGATAGATTATTATTATAGGTAAGTTGGAATATCTATAAAAAAAAAAAAAAAAAAAAATGGAATTAGTTTCTTATGTTCGAATTTTTTGCGCTTAGCGATATCATTGTGGATGGCTTCGGTAAACTAAACTTACTGCAAAAACTTAAATTGTGTTTCGTCAGAATCGAAGATCTTGTTGAAATATGCAAATCACATGCAAATATTGAGGAGCTGGAGTTAGGCGAAATTTATTCTTGGAAGGATAATTCTCACAAGTTAGCAAGTCTTCCAGAGCTACCCAAATTGACACATTTTTCCATTTCCAAAATTGAAGGATTTTCGGCTTCAGAGCTCTTGGATGCATTAGTTACTAATGCAACGCGATTAGAGTCTTTGGTATGTCATTCTCCTTTGAATTTTGAGAATACAGCCAAATTATCCAAATTCAAATTCTTGAAAAGCCTTGACTGTGGTCTTGAAGATAAGAGTTGCATTGGTCCTTTGACCGATCTAACTGAACTTGAGCATCTTACTCTATTGATTCATACTAATACAACTGTAAAAGAGCAATATATAAAAATTATCATATCTTGCAAAAAGCTAAAGTCCCTAAATATAGAAGGACTCGACCCTAGGGCTCAACTTTGTTTCTAAAGCTATTGAAGTATTGCGGACTGTGCGGCAAATTCATAAGCAGAAGCCCCTAAAATTATATTGCCGCAGAGTGGTAAGCTTATCCATAAAATAATTTGTATGCAAATTATAATTATTTTTTTCTTTTCTTTTTCTTTTGTTAAGGACACACCGGTTGATTACTTGCTCTTGACAGGGCCTTAATTGTTTCTATAAATATTTAAAGTTTAAGCATATAGTATATACATACATACACGATGAGCTCAGATGCCTAGATCGTTCGACAAATCAAACTGTAATTAAGGGGCTCTACATAAGATTGGGTACTGAACTTCATCATATGTTATTAACTTTACTTTTTGATAATAAATGTATCTGTAATATCTGAAGTATTTTTCAAAATAAATATTTTGTTTTCCATACTAGTGAATATCACAGAGTCCATCAAATATTATACCTCATAACTGTAAGAAATAAGTCTTCGAAATAGCGTGCATATTTCTCTGTTGAAGTGATATATGGGCTAGCAAAGAGCCCAGCCATGCTCTCAACATGAATCTGCTCGAAATAGTGATGCATTAAAAATAAAAAACAAGCCAAACGTGGGAGCAGAGGCAGAGTCGGTACGTAGACAATCTGTGACGTCACGTATTCGACAAAAACTATAAACGAATTTGAATGCTCTTTGTTAGTTCGAAATGAACTGCTAAAGTAAGTGCGCCTCTGTTTCCTCGAAGATCTCAACCTACACCTGAGCTACATTTATTTTATTTTGTTTTTTCTTATGCCCCCTGATTGCTCTTTGGCGAATTGCCAGATGTATTGTGTGTGTGTGTGTGTGTGAGTATTTGTTTGTCGTCTTTTGTAATTAGTTGCACTCGCCCAGCAGCCCAAGCAAAGAAAAGGCAAAACATCTGACACTGCTCGATCCCCTGCAACAACTTGAGATGCAGCAATTTAGTAATCCTTTTAAGCCTAATTTTAAACGATATATCTTTAATTTTGATAAAAGTTCACATGTTCATAAAATTATCTGAAATATTTATGCTACATTTTATTAACTTGAGGTGATTTTTGTTATTGGATAATTTGGCAATGAACCAAAAATAAGCGGCTACAGCATCAGCAGCATCATCAGCAGCAGCAGCAGCAACAACAACAACAACGACAAGAACATCAACAACAACGGATTTGTACAGGTGTGAAAAGTCTGTGATCAAAATGGCTTTGGCGTTTGGCTAGTTTTCTTTGCCCTTTTATTTTGTATATTTGAATCACTTGAAGAAGATTCTGCTTGCAATAGATTGCCTTCAGAGCATGAGCTGGGCTAATTGCATTTAAATGTCGTTGAGTGGGGCAATCAATGTGGTTTAACCTTTGAAAAGTTGAAAAGTCAACGTTAAACAGATTGCCCAGCGCACGCATCGTTTTAGCCACGCCCTCAGTGTGTCAAACACGCTAATTTACTGTTACATTATTTACATACACACTCACACACACACATAGCGATAAAACTGAAAGGTTGTCACTTTGGAGGCGTTAGGCGGTCGCTCGTTTCATGGCATTTGCTGTAGAATGGGTGGCTGAGCACACACAATAAGACCAAAAAGACGAAGAATAAATACAACATCGACGAGGAGGTGACAACAGGGCGCATGAGCAATGCCCTTGCTGCTGGCAACATGGACGAAATGTTGCCAAGCCAAAGTAATAAACACTTGGGAAATAAATAAATAAATATTTAATGATAAAATAAATAATGTTAAATATACTAAAAACGATAATTTTAAAGTAGAGCAAACATTCAAAACTTTGCATTTTCATGATCTAGGCAATTGTGAATGTGTTTCCGGCAAATTTGTTGCGAAGCAAACAAAAGTTACCCAACGTGTTGCTAAGGTATGAGCTGGCAACATGAATGGCATCCACAAAGTTTCCCGCCAATTGCAGGCCAAGCCGAAGTGTACACATACACACACACACATATACACTAGCCGTGTTAGTAGCAACCCCGAAAAGCCGCAAAGCACACAACGCCGTGTTGGGGGTGGGGCCGACGCGTGCCTTGCGCTTGGTTTGGGTTGGTTTGGGTTAGGCTAGTCGTCACCTGACGCTCCATCGGCTGCCGTTTCGTACGGCAAAGAGCATCAAATCTGCTGCAAAGCTTAAGCCCAAACCAAAAGCCGGCAACTGACTAAAACACTCAGACCCCCCGACCTCTCGCACCATCGTCGACACTGCTGCCGACCGATCCACATACAAAACTGTTATTTACATTTTGTTTTGCCGGCATTTCAGCTACACACGAAGCGGCCACAGCCGAGCCGAGCACCATCGCGAGCCGAAGGCAGGCAGCCCTTCGGCCTGTCGTTCGTTTCGCGCTCGCATTTGTCAGCGCCCGTTTCCGAAACGTTTCGAACATCGCATCAGTTGGCAACGGCCTGTACGCTAACACGGACGTTAGTATCGCACGCCATTTGGCCCCATCATATTAAGCAACACACAAAATTTTTGAATTTCTGAATTCAGCCATTTTTGAGCTGCTTTCTGTGTGTTATTTTCAGTTATCGCGATTTGCGTTCGAAATGTGCAATTGGTGCAAATCATTTTATGCAATGAATTGAGAAAATTGCCTGGGCCCAGCCATGCGAAACCAAAACAACAACCAAAATCAAGAAAAAAGCTAAGCAAAGAAAAGAAAAAGCAAGTAAAATGAATTACAATTTTGAATGAAAAAAGTGTTAAACATTTCAACAGAATTCTGTGTGTGAAAAGTCAACGTGTGTTTGCAACCAAAGCCAACAGCTGATATGCCACAAGAGGTAAATTCCTAGGCTACAAAAAGAAAACAAAAACAAAATTGTCCACAGCAAATGTTAATTACAAAACAGGCGAAAAACTAAAAAAAAAAAAGGTGTTTTTAAAGAAAAAAAGCCGCATGGAAAATGTTGTTGAGGCTGCCAGTGCCAATCTCATCCATCACTCAATTGCCTGTTCCGTAATTTGAACAGTTTTTGTTGACTCTTCTTTACTCTCTGGCAGGGACAACGCATAGTTCACTATTTATTATTTATTTTTATTTTATTTGTATTTGAATTTATTTGATTTCTGCTTAAACAACTGTGCATTAAATTTAATTTTAAAATTTTAATTGAGAGAAATACGCCACAATGCACATGTGTTTGTAGCTGTTGTTGTTGTTGATGTCGGATTTGTTATTGTTATTGTTATTGTTATTGTATTGTGCTCCATTGCGTCAGTTCCCCATTTTTGTAGTCGTAGGCAAGAGCCCATCGTCTGGTCGTTAGCGATAAATAATCAGCAGCCGCTTTGATTTGCGTTCGGCTGCCATAAATATTTATGCAACTGGACGCAGTTGTTTAAACAGACGGACGGGCGGGATAGACAGACGGACGGAGAGCAGTTCATAAGTATCTGTAACGGCTCGATTGATCCGTCATGCCACAATTATGTTGCCATATCACAAATGAAATTGTTTACGACCTGACCACGCCCACACAATTAAAACTTTGATATTTGAATAGTTTACATACATATATAGTATGTACGTATATGCCTTGTTTTGATCTTATCAGCTGAGGCGCCTCTCTAGCTCTCAGACCCATGCACAATCTGTTTCTCATTGTTCTTGCTGCTGTTGTTGTTGTTGTTGTTGCTGGTTTAGTTTGAGCCCATTGCTGTTGCATGTTGAGGCTAACAAAATAATTGACAAAACAAATCATTTACGTGGCAAAAAGTTTTCGGTTAAACTGCAGCGCACGGCGACGGAACACGCAACGCGAATAACTGACGACATTGGCAAGGGATATACATACATACATATGAATATATATGTTTATATATTTATAGTTATATGTATATCGCCTAACAATGGAAGACACAACAATGTAAATTCCAATGTTGCAGTCTGTCTATGTGTGTGTGAGAGTTTGTGCGGTATAGGCGAATGCAATTTGCAATTTGCAGCATAAACAACAACAAATTTAACAATTTAAAGTGCCAAAATTTGTTCAACATAATATTTATGAATTCAATTGCAATCGCTCTAAGCTGTTCATGTAAAAAAAATGGTTTCTTCTTATACAAATATATATAATTTTACGTGGCTTGGATGTTGGACTCTCTTAATCGAAACTCCAGTTTCAAGCTGCGATTTACCTAAAACTTATTTTGCTATATTCTATTATTATTCGAGCTTTTATTGATATTTATAAATATTTGAAGTCGAAAAAAATTTATTGCTTTATTTTTTCATTACAAATTATAAGATTTTTTTTTTTTTAAACTCATTTAACTGCATTCACAATATTATTATTTTTTTCGAATTATTTTGTAATAAATAAAATTGTATTATATATCTATCCCCCAGCTAAATAAACATTATTTAGTATCACAACGATATTTTGTAGATTCCATAATCATATCATTATTTGCTAATGCTCATTAGCTACAACAATGAATTTAGTCTATTTGATTCCCCCCTTTTCTTTTTCATCTATTTCTAATTGCTAAGAGCTCAACTCGTTAACTCGTTCTGAGATTCGAACTTGAATTTCTCGACTTGTTTACCAGTTCCAAATTATATATATACAAATTGAGCATGTTACACATACGCCCCGTCTGCCCATTTGCATTTGAGCAATGGTTTATAAATTCAATTGTCTATAATCATCTGGTGCTGCTGCTGCTTCTGCCTCTTCTTCTTCTACCTCTTTCATTTGATGTTAGATATTTTTCATGTGAAGACTTCCCGATTACTGCGAAAACATCTGGCAATATGGCAAAGCAGTATTTGGAGGCCATAAATCTGCCTCATTGACTGGCGCTTAGTGCCGCCGAAATAGATTTATGTTGACTCTGTCTGAAAATCATATAAAAATTTCTGTTAATTGGCCAAATCAGTCAATTACTCTCCACATATTTGCTGATTCAATGCAATGAGAGTATCGGAAAATGAAAATGAATGCAAGCGAAAACTTTTAACCACAATTTAAATTACATTTGGGGCGAAAGCCCCGCAAATTTTTGTCGTCTGTGGCTGGGCAATTCAAGGGTGTTTATTTGGTTTGTGGCTCACAGTCGATTGCCTGATTTACCCACACACACACACACACACGCATACACATAGAACGAGAGCAAACATGTTAACAAGTTAACAAGCTGTTAAACATACTCCATCAGCGCAGTTGGCGCAATTTTTTATTGCTCAAAATCCCAACATTTATTGCTATTAGTTTTTGGTTATTGCCTGACAAGGACCCCTCCAAGTGCGTCTAGGCCTGATAAATAGCCTGCCTTCTTCCCGGCTTGTTTATTAAAATCGAATTGCGCCTTATTGGGCGCACGCCAATGGCGCCTAACCACAGGC